ATGGACAGGGAGCTGAATCCACAGAGACCCCACCCTGTATTTTTTACAGTGCCAGACCCCAGGATGTCCCTAACGTCTGTGGTCTGTCGTCCAGTTTATGTATTTGTACCCATTTAAAAAGCCTAAATGCATATTACATGCAGGTCCTGGACCAGGTGCTTGTCAGAAGAAATTCAACAAAACCATCTGCAAAGTACACAATTTTATTTAAAAACAACACTATCATAAAACACTATTTTATGGGATTTATGCAAAGGTTCAGCCAAGGCAAAAAGGTTTAGACACCATTGAAAGTGTCAATTATACTAATAAACCACAGAAATAACAGACATTTGTAGAAGACCTATAACCGTTGGGCAATCATATTCAAAATGAAAACAAAACAGCAATGTAAGAATAAAAATACTAAGCTTTCCCCCACAGGTGCACCTGTCTTCAACTCACTTTCACTTTCATAAATGGTCCACATCTAAACGCTGCTAAAACGTTTTCTCCTCCTGCCCATGATTTCTAAACCAGCGCACCAAAGCGGCCTTGCTCTGTTGATGTGTTTAACCAATCAGAATCATGGCAGGAGGGTGGCACTAGGAGCAAACTATAACTTCTTAAATGCAAGGCGTTAGAAATAAATGTCCCTCGCATCATGCCTCATTCCCAGGAAAGAGGGGAAGAAAGAGACGCATCATGCCGCGCTAGAAAAGACTGGAGCGGCGCTCTTTACGGTCCTTATTTATGGGTCTCGTGACCGAGGCCAACTTATGGAAACTAAATCTTTAAATGTCTGGCAGATGCCTTGCACACACCCCTGCAGCTTGGCTCAATTACATAAAAAGATTCTTTTGTTCTTACAAAGCTAATAATAGAGAAAGGGTGCTGCATGTGAGCGGTGTCTGAGCCTTCTTCTGGGTATGTGTTCGTATGAATGTGTGTGAGCTGAAAGTGTATTTATAACTTCCTACAGTGCTCCACCGTTCTTGTCACAAACCTTGGATTTAACCCTGCTTCCTATCTTTCTGGTCGCAGAACTGACCTCCGATCTGATAAAGCAGCATTAAAGCAGCATCTTTGAAAAAAAACAACATTCAATTAACTGAAACCATCAACATACCCTGCTAACGGTTTAATTACAAGCAGCATTTAGTCACTATATGTTGAAATCAGACTCCTAATTTAGTATAAACACTCTGAAATGTTTAATATAACATCGTAAACTGTTGTTAAAATGGAGTCAAATGTGATCCAAATCTTCCACAAGCCAGTTATAAACACAGCTCTATTAAACAAGGAAGTGGTTTTAAATCTTAGACGTTTGTAGAGTTTGTGGACAAAACAAAAACTCAAATGAATCTTCTCTAATAAAAATGATTGAGCTGCTGTTTCTGTAAATACATGTTTGTTAATTTACTTGTTGTACAGCACGTAGTACTGCAGGATTCCACTAGGGGCACGGTACAGGACTCAGGCTGGACGGAGTGATGGATTTGAAGGGTACAAACAAAAGAAACATGGCCACAATAAAAGTGATCAGTTCATTTTGAGATCACGACTGAAAACAATTCAGCAGTGGTATTTTAGATAGTATGTAAGACCAGAGACGAAATGACAATGGTGAGTATGTCTCTCTCGTTTTAAGTCACACACATTTACTGCAACTTGCGAACGCATCATGGTTACTTCAGAGGATACGCACAAACAATGCTTGAAACAAACTCAAGTTACACGAGGAAGCCGTGAGATACACACGAACATGACAAGCATGTTCTGGCACTAAGATAAAAAAGTTGAATTTATTTATCCAAGTTATGTTAACTGGTTGTCCTGAACCTAGTTGCTTACATGTACAAAATTAAATAAGAATCAAATCTTATTTTCAGGTTTGGTTACTGCAGCCCATTTTCAAAACTTTCTCACTTCCATTTCGTGAGATTCACGGCTGTTGCCAGTTACGGATCAGCACCAGAAGATTCTAGATGACGAGTGAAGACGAGTCATGCACCGTAAGTTGATAAGTAGATAAATACATTTCACTGTCCAGTTGTATTAGTAGCTTTGTGGCAGATCACCAGGGGGCTCCACTCACAGCCAGAGACAGGGTGTGATGTGTGTGGGAGGAGACGTGTTTTTGTGTGTGTTGTGATCCGTCGTGCAGATTTCCTCTGAGAGATGAAAGGATGTGAGCAGAACTACCTTGTGTCGTCCTTACCTTCCTTCACATGTTGACAAAGATTATTTGTGTGCAGTTTTGTGTGAATTGGATCATGCATGTGGTATTTATTCCCAAGTGATTCTAAGGGGGTGGAGCTAAAGCAAAATAAACCAATGATGACATCAATGTGTTGAAAGTGCGTGAAGAAATAAAGCCCGTTCGGAAGTGTTCTGACCTTATTAGTTGAAATTCTTGAAATTTAAATAAATCTAGGGGGGCTTTATCTTCAGAAAAGACAAAGTGGGAGGCAAACGTTACGTGTGAATTCGCCGCGCCGCCACAGCCCCGCCCTCTTTGGAAAACTCCCATAAAGTGATGCCAAGTAACCTCAAATTGTCTTCAGTTACCAGCTCTAAATTTATGTTGAAGAAGTGACATATGGAGATTTAGGACATTTCACAGTAAAACTTGACCTTTTTGGTCCTAAGGGGGCGGGGCTGATGTAATGTCATCATTCGCTTAGGTGTTGTGCGCATGTCTAACAGCCCATGGTCCTCGCCATTGCACATGAATTGGTTAGGGTTAAAATACTGCTTTGTTTTGCCAGCTGGTGTTGAATTACAAATACCGGCACAGCAGCGTTAGCTCGCACAGACTCTGCAAACCCGTGGGCTCACAGATTGTAAAAAAGACTAAGTTTCTCTTTGGCCTTTTTAAAAGGAGAAAAACTGACAACCCCCAGTCGACCGAGAAGGAAATCTGCTCAGAATAACCTTCCTTCCAACATGACTGAGACATTAGACTGTTCTGTGATTATTTCACTGTAGAATTCTTACATATTGTACCTTTAAATGTAAAAAGTAATATGTATTTACATTCTTGCATTACTCTATGTAGTCAAGAGGTTTTGTGAAACCAGTTGGCATAACTTGGTTAAGTAAATTCAGCAGTTCCCTTTTTAGAGTGTAGTTGAGAAATAAGCTGACAAACATGAGAAAATCTGCCAGAGCAACAGCTAATGTTATTTATCTAAACCTCTTGTGCTTTAGAGAAGGCTTTTAAATTTGAGGAGAGGGGCATGTCCAATTATCTCCCTGAACCGAGCAAAACGTAGCTCCACGTTACCCAGAAAGCAATGGGGCTCGCATACAACAGTGGACAGCTTTCTCCTGCATCGAGCCCAGGTCATTTTGTACCTTTGTAGCAGCCACTCGTCTCAATTACTGTTAAGATGGAGTAATGCGGGCTGTGATTAGGCAAACATAATGACAGCTCGCTCAGGAGTGACAAACTCTAGTGGGGGAGATAATTGAATTAGGAGGAGGGTGTGAGAAAAAGAGAGATTTCACAATGGAGCATAGATGATCATTCAAAATTAATGAGCAACCACACACAATTATTAGCTATAACCACACCCTTCAGTGAGCCTTTGTATCTGTGTGTGCGTGTGTGTGTGTGTGTGTGTGTGGGGGGGGGGGGGGGGGGGGGGGGGTATTTAATGCAAATGCAAATACAGATCTCAAAAAGGTCACTGGTGTGATCCGAACACTTTCCGATTAAATGTCAACATGTGTTTTCCAAGGACTTCTATCTATTTTCTAATTGAATCCATTTTTAGTGTAACATTATTGTCTTCACCCTTTTTTTATTTAGAAAACAAAATTATGTTCACTATTTGGAGGGGAGTTTGCAGCAGGCCCATGAATATGCAGCTGAGCCTTCGGCGATCTATTGTGAAAGGAACAGGAAAATAAAAGAAGCAGACATCAGCAGGGAAACAGGTGAGTGCAGACGAATCTAACGCCTTTCAACTCCTTAATTCAGAGCAAGCACAGCTGTGAGTGTGTGAAAACACATCACAACCTCTGTTTTCGATGTGCTGAATATCAGCAAAATGAACAGTTGGATTGATTCTTAAATAAATGTAAATTTAAACATTTTTGAAAGTCGGGATTGTACCAAAAGAAACATTTTGATAATTTTGACAGTATTTTTTATCCTGTAACATTGTAGATGCTCAAGTATTTAGCCTAACAAAAGATTTAAGGACCGATGTGTTTTGCTGGCATCAGTATGACATTCGAACCACTTCTTGTTTATTTTGGTAGCTTACAGCTCCGGTCTCTATTATAAATGAACGTCTTGTGAGTCGTTCTCTGAGGAACAAAAGCTCTGGTGCTCCTGTTTTAGGAAGTAGAGGTATGCCGGATGAGTGAGCGAAGGGAAATGTCAGAACTTGGAGTCTTTCTCGTTGATTTTTATGATATTCAGACATCTCACCTCTGACTGGATGACAGCAACGTGACTCTTCCACTGCCTCCGTTTGCTCCGTCACACTGATGGTAATGCCATCGGTTAGCTTATACTAGCCAGGACATGCTCAGCTCTTTCCTGGGCACTAAATCAACAGAGACTTCCCAGGTCACATGCATGGGTGAGTCCATGAATGCTATTTTACAGTGTGAGACAGATCTTTGTGGCTTTTTCTGACCCATATTTGTGCCCGTTCATTTTCTATCAGGAAATAGGGGTAGAAGACGTTTTTCACGTTTAGCCTGCATGTGAAAGTCAAGAGTGGCTGGCCATATTGAAAATATAACAAGATTTATGTTTGTCAGCAAACTTCATCATAAATGATAATCAGGAGAACAACAGAAGACACATTGTTTTTGGCAACTGGGAATGGTTTAAAGTTAGACACCAGGGATTACATTTTGTAAAGGGAGGCATTCCCTTCACAGGAACAGAGAAAAGTTCAAAAACACAGTTCCTAATATTGAAAAACAAGAATGTCTACCTTTTAGCTTTTCTTCACCAAACATTAGTGTCCATGCAAGGCGACATGCACACCTACCTTTAGTTCACGGAAGAAAATGCTGCTCCGTGCCCACTCCACAATGGAGAAGAGCGTCTGGTCGGCCATCTTGCACATCAAGCCAAAGGTGTTGAGCTTCTCGTGTTTACCCCGGCTGGCCTGCTCTTGCTGTAGATAGGCCAGGATCTTTGCCTGAACTTGTGGCTCATCGGGTTCACACTTTAGCAGCTCTACAATGAGGTGAGGAAAGCTGGGGGGAGAGCCTGACTGGTAGGCATCAACGTAAGCATAGCCCATGATGGACTCTGGCGAGCTGGTGTACGGGTCTGGGTACTCGGACTTGATGGTGCGCGTGCTCTGGAAGTGTCCGTAGGCTGCTTGATAGCCTTGCAGACTGCCAGCATGTGGTGGCATCGCCATGCTGACCGGAGAAGTAACAAATGGGCTGCGGTCATAGTCTGTAGGTGGCAAGGCGGTGGCATGATGATGGTGGTGGTGGTGGTGGTGATGATGACTGGTGTGGTGGCCACCATGGTGGCTCAGTGGAAGGCCCTTGGAGGCTGCTGAGTGGATGTTCTGGATGGCGGAGGAGATTGTGAGGTCAGTGGGTACAGCCTGCATCACCTGGCTCATGGCCTCGATCTTCAGGCCGTTTGCTCGGATCAATGCCTTCTTCTGCTGCTTCAGGGCCCTGTCACGTTTGTACATCGGGCCAAACTTGTTGCGACCACCACGCATACGGTCCGCTCGCACAGCTGACAGAAAAAGACAGGAGACAAAAATAGACAAGACAGGATGAACTAGTTGTGTAACACGAATCAAAAAACAAGTCTTTTACATGATTCTGACCATGTCCGACAAAGGATCCCAAAGACAAAAAAGGTTTGGACTCAGACACCAACATAGATTCCATTTTAGTGACTTGCATGTAGGCCAAAGGTCTGCTTATGACAACAACACTTGACATTTACCTGTTGACGATTAAAGCCCACAGAGCTGAGTGATAGTAACGTTACTGATTGACCAAAAGGCTCAAGCTTGTATGAACCACACCGCGGAGTGATCATAGTGCAACTAGCTTTTTTCGGTCTGCCCCTCAGAAGTTGGCTTCTGCTTTAACCTCAAAGCATTAAAAAATACATCTCATGTCTGATCATTCAATTTCTAAAAGCTTTCCAAACGTCTCTGTCAATTAGCCAAAACTTCTTTACGAAAACCAAAGGCTGAACAGCCCGACAATAATCATATCATGGCTCTTTTTTTTAATTTCTGATTAAACAAACCTACCCGATGCTCCCTGCCACCCCCCTCAGAGCAGGGTCCCGTGGTGAGGATCACAACGAGCCTCCGCCGCGGGTATTTCTAATGAATAAACTGGGCTTACAGTGGTCTGCAATGAGGTCCACGTGTGATCTGGTCGGCCGCTGCCATGGGGAAGCTGCTCTACTGTCTCTCAGTCGGGGGCCGCTGGTGTTAATTATTCATACTTAATTACCTCTTATTCTAACGGGGCTCACAGAGCCCAGTGTGCAAAAGGCCAGCAGACGTCTGGGACTGTCTGCAGCAGGATGAACAAGAAAAACCTCTCACTAATACCAATATTCTAATGTGTTAGTCGTATACTACGATATACTCAGGACGAGTGTCTCTCAGTCCAAGGAACAAGACTAAATATGATAATAAATGCACATACATTTGACCTGTTCGTACGCAACCAACAGTCAGAGTCACCTCAGGTCCACTCAGGCTCCCGACGGCTTGACGGACGAATGACAGAACAGAGGAGGGAAAATTGACGCAAGGGGGTTGTAGAGAAAACATGATGGGGGGATTTATGTTTGGGGGCAAAAGATGGGCCGACGCTTATACAAAGACACACACACACACACACACACACACACACACACAGCTGCCTTGGGAGGGATTTTAATGACCTCTTTTACAAAAAAGTGCCTGTCACTGATCTGAACGAGTACAGCCAAGAGGGCACACACACACACACACACACACACACACACACACACACACACACACACACACACACACACACACACACACACATTGAAAGCATCACACCGATCAAAGACGGGATTATGCCAGACGGTCCGATACCTTTAAGAGGCCCTGATGGCTCTAACAGCATGTTGTTAAAACACTAATCGTACTCACACTCATGCACTCATTCGTCAACACGGTTTAGGTTCGCAGCAAACAGTGTCCATTTGCACGCAGTCAGGAACTCTCAAAGCGTAAAAAATCGTAAAGAAATGACAACACATCATAGAAAAAGAAGAAAACATCAGGAGCCTTGTCAAATGAATCCATTATACATTATTGTAGGGCAACTTTAACTATTAACGATTCTCAAAACCAGCGTAATTAATGAGCTGAGAAACTAATAGTTGGCCCTACTGGGAAAACAAAATTAGGCCCTGACTGCTTTTCTTGCCTGCCTTAGACCCACAGCATATTATGAATACCAGAATGCGGGGTGGGGAGGGGGGGGGGGGGGGGGGGGCACACACACTCATGCACACACAGTTTTTTGTCTCTAATTAAACAGAGTGATTTGCATTCATGTAACATGGATTAATGGGGAGGGGTCAGCATACAGAGGGTGAGGGTGGTTGTGTGATGTTAACGGGTCAGACGCTGCAGTGATTGAGAGTACGACAGCACATCTTTAAGGTTCTGCTGCAGCCTGACCTCAGTGGAAGTCATTTTCTGTATAAAGAGCTGCCTTCAGATGTTCAAACGTCATGAGGAGACAAATCCAGCGAAGGGAGTTTTTTTACACACAGTTGGGTTAACAGAAAAGAGTAGAGACGAAAAGTCTCTGCTACACAAAGGCAAAGGGCCAAAATTAAAAAACTTGGAACAAAATACTAATCTTGCAACATGAAAACTTACGGTATGGTACAGTAGCTTAATCATAACAAAAGATTTTCTTTGGAAAACCAAAGAAAAAAGCTTTCAAGCTTTTTTTTTTTTCAAAAAGGCCCGACACATGTTGGTTCGTAGTGAGGCTTTGAGGAAAAAGACAGGATTTTGATGTCAAACATCTGAGTTAATGTCAGACAGCACACACAGACACACACACACACACACACACACACACACACACACACACACACACACACACACACACACACACACACACACACACTAGAATACACAACACACACATATATCCCAAAGTTGACCCAAACAGACCCTATTCCAACTCCCCCAAAGCACCCTGATGTAAAGATCTATGTACACAGACACACACACACACACACACATGCACGCACGCGCACGCACACACACACACACACGCACGCACGCACGCACACACACACACACACACACACACACACACACACACACACACACACACAGCCCTCAGCGCTTATACCCTCTGATTTATTGTTGTTTAATATACAGGAATATTAAGCGTGCGTAGGTGAAGATCCCTGTCGGCTGCCGGCATATTAATGGGTCCCGCGGAGCCTTGCTGACACCCTGTTTGTCATGTCGGGGCCCCGGCCCCTGCTCTGGATGCGCCCTCTCCCATGCACACACATGAATACCTATGATACCTATGCATAAGTAATGGCACAGCTCCCCGGCTTCCCACCGCAGGTACTGAGAGGCTGATGGAAGACAAATCAGAGCTAGAAAGATGGAGACGGGGAGGAAATAAAAAAAGCTGAGGGAGAGATGCAGAGGGGAATCTACAAACACTCAGCTGCTGGTGTTTATTTCCACTAAGTGGCTCTTCAGAGGGTTTGCATTTGTATTAACCAATTAATTAAATTTTGATGGAGTAACCATGCACCAATAAAAAAAGACAAGTTTTTCTATGAGAGTTAGAATAGAATTAATAAATAAATAAATTAGATTTTTAATGAAAAATATTAATCTTTTTAAATAACTATTTTAAAACAATTCTAAATGACGCTGGAGCTCTTGCACATTTTTTTTAATCACTTAATTGTCTTTGCTTTATATTTTAGTGCCAGCATTTGAAACATTATGTAACTCAGTGGGATCACCATGTGCATCAACTAAATGCACACGAGGAGCAAAAACATTAGACGGCTCACTGAAGCGTGCCATACAAGACAACTATTAGCAAGCAGAGAAAAGAGCTTCACGCTCCGCCGCTTCAGCGGCTGACGTTCTAATGAGCAGTTTTCAATGAGAAAGAGCGGAGATGCTGCAGCAGAGTGTTTATTTTAAATGTGCAACACAAAAAAAGTGAATTAATTTCTTGTTTCCACCTTTTAGACTTTTATTTCCTGGTTGAAGTGCGTTTACAGCTGCGCTCACACCTGATTAATGAGCAGCAAACACAAAGCAGGCATAAGAGACAGATACAACGTGATGTGGATGTTACACACCACCCATCTGTCATCCAACTTTATTGAACTGTCTGCCAATGCAGTCAGTTTACAGACCACTGCTACCAACACACACACACACACACACACACACACACACACACACACACACACACACACACACACACACACACACACACACACACACACACACACACACACACACACACACACACACACACACACCAGCAGGCGTTTTAGGGAATGAAAATGAGTTTCTACACGTCTGAAAAACACAAAATGCCTAAAGTTACTACCAAGTCATTAGCTGAGTGAACAACATGAGTATCTTAGACTCGAAGCTGGTTAGTACAACACAGACTCTGCTGAGAGGATAAATGACAAGCCTCCTCATATTTATCTCCATCTGATGTCCGCTCAGCTTTAGCAAGTTAGGATGTGTTCACTGGCTGCTGGAAACGGGAAATCTAAACCATCTCTTTTGACGTTTTTCACCTTGGTTGAGAAAAAGAAGCTAATGAAACTTGAAAAATGAGAATATGGTGCAAGACTCAGACTGAGAAACCACCTAAAGCCAAAAAGCATCTGAGAAGTCACTTGCTGGCTTTTACGTGACCTTTGTCACCACATTCTCCTTATTCTGCTCTTTCTACCTATTCTGCCTTTCGATCCACAGATTTCCCTCTTTCCTATTCATATTAAACATATTATTTCTCCATTGCCTTACATTTTTTAATCACAATTTTTTTGTAATTTTAAACTTGTTTTTTTTTGTTTTTGTGAAGCGCCTCGTGATTTTTACCTTCAGAGGCGCTTTATAAAAGATTGTTTACTTTCTTTCTGTTCTTCATTAGCTGATTAGAGAGTGACACTGACTAGTCTAACTGTCCGAGATTTTCAATGCGGGGTTTTCATCAGCTGTTAGCCATAATCATCACAGTTATAACACATAAATGCTTGACAAATCTGGTTTTGTAATGAGTCTCATATAGCAGTCTCACTTTTAGAAGTAAAATTATTGAATTTAACGAACAGTATTCTACTTTTTTTCAGTTTCACTTGTAATGTTTCATCTGGCTTTTCTCCAACTTTGCTTTTTCTGTGATTATCTGTTTATTTTGAGTCAAAAGAAGGAAATTCTCAGTGTTAAGTTTAGCGTTGCTTGTTTGATCCGTTGGCTCATCATAGACATAGACAGGTTCAGGTTCTCTCACATGTAAGAAACAAGAATAACAGATGGGACTTGGGCCGGTTCACCTCGTGACTCATGATATAAAATGTGCTTAACCCTCTGGAGGCAGGCGTTGCAGATTTGCAACGTTAAAACATACTTACCTGGTGACTCCACAAACGTATTTCATGAGCATTTTTTTACTCAGAAGTACCCCTGAAGGACTTAGTTGTTCATCCTTTTATCAAAACTTATTTTGAGCCTGAGAGGGTTAGAGAGAAATCAGTATCATCAGCGTGGTAGTGTGAGCTTTCACACCGAGGTATTGTACACTTAGAGTGCTTGAGAATGTAAATTTAGTCCAACTTTCTATGAAATGTAGTAAATCCAGTAAATGAAAACAGCTGTAATTAAAAGAGCTGTGATGACAAGTCTGAAGGGAGAACCGTATAACTTTATATTAGTGGTATTTCATCAATTTTGGTCACAGACCTCATAATATTGAGTCATTTATAATTATTATTTAAATGTCATAATATCACAGGCTGACTCAAAGGCGAACAAATAAACACTAAAGGCCAAACGCACGCACGCGCGCACGCACACGCACGCACACACACACACACACACACACACACACACACACACACACACACACACACACACACACACACAAAGTTACTCTTTTACTCAACTTTAAAGTTACCCTCTTGTTTAGTTTTCACGTGTCATCGTGAGCACATGTGTTGCTTCAAGCAGGAATCAGAAGATTGCAATAAAAACACACACGGCTGAAAATAGTTTTCCTTTTTTCAGGTGACATGACAGCTTCTTCCTCCTGCCTGTGGCCATCCCAACACCATTTTGTCATGAATATATGTATGTTTTTGCAATGTAGTGTGCGTGCGTGTGTGTGTGTGTGTGTGTGTGTGTGTGTGTGTGTGTGTGTGTGTGTGTGTGTGTGTGTGTGTGTCAGCTGCAGTGTGTGGGAGGTCTTTACTGGATGTGGCAGGAGTCGCCCACTGGAGCTTCTGGCGTCTGACAGAGCGCTGCAGGGCTCGTCTTGCCCACAAGCGGAAAGTTACCACTGGCAAAACAAATCAAACACCCCCACCCCCACCCAACTCACCCATGTCGGCTATAAAACTGACAGTCTGGGACGATCTGCCCAGAGGCCCTTTGCAATTACCAGCAATTAATTAAATTTTGCAAATGAAAAGAAAAACCTCAAGATTGAAGTTTGTTTTTATGTTTCTTCTTTACTTAACTTTTTTCTTTTGTTCACAATCCCCATTCAGTTCATTTTAAACACAGATATGTGATTCATGTCAGTTTTTGTTAAAAGCTTTATTTAAAATTAATATATTTATTAAACATAATTTAACTTTTGAAATTTGCACTTCTAACCTGTAACCTTTAGTTTCCAAAAGTTTCATTCAAAGGAAAGACGACCTTCACGGGCGTTAATTCACTCTGAAACGAGTGGCTTTACAATCAGACTTGTTAACTAATGCGTGGAAACGTTTTTGAACACATTTTCTGAGTAAAAAGTGAGGGTTCTGAACTGCGTTCAAGGTAAATAGAGGGGCCTGAACGCATTCAGCCAAAAGTATCATCATTAACATTCTCACTCTGATGCCAACTCTAATATTTTATCTGCTTTTTTGTCTAACTAGTGGACATCCACCCTCACAGACCCACGACCTCTGACCCCACCCCAAACACGAAGCCAAGAAAAGAGAAACTTATCGGTTTGACTTTTTATCAGTCACAATGTGATTTCCATTTAAATTCATAAAAGATGAGTGTGTTTACTTATAAAATTAGCCAGTTGAGGAATTAAGGAGAAATTGCAGCTTTGATTTTACGATCAGGTTTGTCACACTTCGACAGCATAGATGACTTGTTGCTGCAATGTAAATTTGATTTAAATACATTTTCTAAAGAATTTGATTGCATATTTTAGAGCTTTTAGATCTTTTATTTGTTATTACGCATCCACATTCCACAGACATGATGTGATTTTGCTCCCACTACCATAAATGAGTCATAAATGAGTATAAATACATTAATAAAAATGTGTCATCAGTCTAGAAAAATAATACTTTTGTCTACCCATGCTCAGCTTTTATTTGCATCAACTTTTTTTTATTAGTTTTAGAATCAATTTCAATTTTTGCAAGCATGTTTTACATCTAAGTGGTGAAAATGCTAACTTTTCTCACCGGTTACGGTCTTGTGAAAAAAAAAACACTTTCCTTTGGGTTTCATTTATAAAAACTGAAACATTTCACTTATTATGTCTACAGACTAACAGTTCTTTAGTGACCACACATTATGGTTGTAAAGGTGACAAAATGAATAAAAAATACAGAAGCAAAATTGTACGGCAAGCCAAGCAGCAGAGACTTAAGAAGTGAAAGAAAGAGTTTCTGTACCTTCTAGCTTCATGCCGACGGTGAGGCACTTCTGGAAGCGGCAGTACGGGCAGCGTTTTCTCTGGGTCTTGTCAATCTGGCAGCTCTGGTTTTCTATACATGTGTAACGCTTGTTGTTCTGGACAGTGCGCTTGAAGAAGCCCTGCAGAGAGAACCAATTAAGACGTCAACCTGCTTGACCCCTGCAATGCGATGGTAATTGGCCCATTCACACTCCCAGACAGATGGAGAGGGATATCCTTAATGGATATACACACACACACACACACACACACACACACACACACACACACACACACACACACACACACGCACACGCACGCACGCACGCACGCACACACACACACACACACACACACACACACACACACACACACGCACACACACACACGCATACACCAAAGAATTTCAAAGCTATACGCCAATTCCTTTAAGGATATCGACACCTAATAAGCAAAAGTAATCATGATAATTAGCTGCAAAATGCATTTTTTTTTCATATTAAGATCAAACTTTCATAAATTAATATTTTTTTTCCTTCTGTTTCAAACTATTTTCTAAAATATTATATTTGACTTGGCTCTTACTTTTAATATTCTCTGTTCACGCAGAGACGAGCAGGAATTAAGCGCCCTCTCAACCCTCCTTTCAATTATTTAAAAATACGAGCACACGAGTGCAAAGAAAAATCCAATAAATTATATCCATAATTCACAGTTGCGGGATTATAGAGATTCATGTATGGAATTTATTACGGGCTGCAGCAGTGAGAATCACACAGAGGAAGGTGGGATTAGCGTATTCTAGATCCATAAACTAGGAGGAGAATCTTTAAACCTGCCTTTTAAAATGAAATTTTAAAAAAAGGATGCGCTGCAGTCGATATCTCACCAAACACATACTTAATAGACCGTCTCAATTTCTCTGATCTGATGAAAGAAAACGGGAGAAAAAATGCTTTTGGAATATCGACCCCCCACATTCCTCAAAATCTATGTTTCAGTGATGCTTTCTTCCTAATTCTCCTTTTCCCTCCCTGCATGTGTCCCACATCTAAGCTGAGTTAAACTCACATAATCTCACTAGAAAGGGCTTTCTCAGGTTTGCAGCGTGAAATGCCTTTTAATTTAAAAACACTGTTTCTGTATAGCTTTGATTAGATTTTTCCAAATGCTAATCTAATAGCAAATTATAAATTCAGGATAACAGCTGGTCTGATCGGATCCACTAACCACTACTACTTGTACTAACCACTCATGTTTCAGAGATTTAGAATAGAACTTAAAAAAAGGTCTATCCTGCTAGGAGTGTGTCACGGTTATTCTTGTGTCCTCTCAGCTCAGGTTTCTCTAAAACAGAACGGCTCGCCCATCTAGCTGAACTCCTTGTTGTTATTCCAGCAGGCATAATGTGCTTACATGTTTACTTTATGTGACGAGGTGTGTGCACAAACCAAAACGTGTGTGTGGCTAAAGAAAGGATGATGTGTGTGTTTGTATGCACATTTGCACTGAATATAGCAAATAACGCTGGGAAAAATATATAAATAAAGCAGAGTTTTGACTAAAACTTTAGGAAAAGTCACAAAGTTAATGTTGGACCTAGCTGTTTTTTCAGATAAACTGGGGATGGATGATGCTGATTGGTTGCTGCTGGCATGCATTAAAAGTCAGAATGAACCTGTAACGTGTCAGCAGGCTGATTCATCAGTCCAGCCCTGATGATCATACAAACTGCTGCATTTTACAGAAAATCGATGCCACGCTCTGGGTAATTATCAATATCATTAATGTTTCAACAAGGATATACTGCTTTCTATAAAACACCTCTTCATCTTCATCCTGCACACACACACGCACACACACACACACACACGCAGGTGTGCACGACATGTCAACAGGGAGACGTGTGGAAGGGCTCTCCGCTGTGTGAGCCTGTGTTGAGGCTGAGCAGCAGCAGAGATGCCACTGACGTCTCCAAATGCTCAGCATCTCAAGGTCAAAAGACGGGGATCAAATCTATAACATCTGCTTTGAATAATGACCACATAGGCAAGAAATGTGCACCGCAGCATCAATACAGCTGCAGTTTTACACTGAAGAGCACTCACACACACACACACACACACACACACACACACACACACACACACACACACACACACACACACACACACACACACACACACTTTTAGCTTGACTTAGCATTGGCAGCTTTTTACACTAAAACCCAAATTATTCCTCCTGTGAATTATTTGTTGACAGAGCATGAATTAACTCCATTTTGCATTTCTCTAAATTTTGTGACAGTTTTAATGAATGTGTGCTTAGAGTTAAAAACAGAAAAGAAAAGCATCACTTGTGTGTACTACCTCTCAATTGTTACAGCCTCCCACCACAACTCTGCAGTGCACAGGTGCCCTAAACTCTCCAGACGTCCCTTTGCATGCTTTTAAATCATAATCTTTTTTTAAGTTTTGTTGATCACCGTACTAAAATCCTCTGATCCTGACAGGAGGAGCTTGTTGGACCTTTGGCCTCTTTCTCACAGTGCTAACAGTGTGTGGAAGTGACTATTTGCCCTACACTTGTGCCGGCTCTGCTCGGTGAAGGCTGTCATCACTTTGCATGTGCGAACTTATGCAAAAATACACCTTAATATAAAATTTAAAGAACATATTGATCGAAATAGGATTTTAAACCTGCTGCATGGAAATGAAAGACCCACATCTTGCAACAAACTTTGATGAGTTTGCTTAAATTAAAATGTTACATTCCTTAAAAGTTGATTTAATTCACCAGTAAATTATTATAAACAGTTAGACCTTTAAAATTACACAGCTGGGATTTTCTAAATAAAATATAAAATGTACCAATAATATAATTTTGTTTTACAGGCCACTAACCTTGCAACTCTCACAGGTCAAAAGTCCGTAGTGATAGCCTGAAACCTTGTCTCCGCACACGGGACACATCTCGTCCAGGTCTTCGTCATAAGAGTAGTCCATCATTTTCAACTGGGGAGCTGTGGAGAACACACACATGCACACAAGTCTATTTCAGTCCTGAGCGCTGTCTTCCCCACAAGCGCGCTCTCACCCGGGGTGGGGGGTGGGGGGTAGCACGGACCCGCGACTTAAAAACTTTTGTACGCTTCTGAAGGTTTAATTTGAGGAGACGAAAAAAAGACCATGAATCGTCTGTTTTGGAGTGAGTTGAAAGAATATTTTCTCCCCGTGTCTGCCCCTCTCTCTGCAGGCTGGAGCCAAAAAATAAAATAGATTTAAAAAAGAAAGTCTGTCTCATAAATATGCATGCGTCCAGGTCATGAATTTGCCGGGGGAAAAGGAGATATTAGACTTGAAGATTGGATGAGAAAATGTTCCCGCCCACAGACAAATGAAAGCACAGCGAGAAGTCCTGATCTTTGCAGCGAATTAGAGAAAAAAATATCTAAAACCAACATTTTCTCTCTGTTTTCCTCTCTTTCTCCGATTTTTTTTTCGTCCTTAACCTCTAACGCCACAGGCGGTTACTCAGTCATTTTAAAACTAAAAAAGGAGGAGAACACATTTTCTTTTACAGGTTCATAATTCCACAATTCAGAAAAGTATACTTTGGAGACAGAAATCCTAGATATTTTCAAAATGATTAGCTTTTTAATCAAAACCTCTTAATCAGATTATTTTCTACACAACTCTGGTCCAGATTCTTATTGGCACGTGCGTGTGTGCGTGTGTGTGTGTGTGTGTGTGTGTGTGTGTGTGTGTGTGTGTGTGTGTGTGTGTGTGTGTGTGTGTGTGAGAGAGAGAGAGAGAGAGAGAGAGAGAGAGAGAGAGAGAACCGATGTGGCATTTACAACAGTTACAAAAGTCTTTATGACACTAATCATGAAAGCAGCAGGATCAAACAGGAAAAGCAGAGTAGATGTGGAGGGAGGGGGAAATATTTTTCTTCTCTGGCCTTCCTTGCTCATATTCCTTCTCTGCACCTCAAACCTCGGTTCATCTGCTCGGTGAGAGCCGTTAATTAGATCAGATTTGTAGTTTGTTAACGTGCCGCCCTTCTGGGAGAATAATCCATCTGAAGCAACAAGTTCCAGCACCGAGCTCTCGGATCTCTTATTCTAACTCTCAGTAAATAAAATGTCTGATTGCATTTTTTCTTTAAAACGCACTAATTGGATGATTTTAGCCCCCATAATTTTTCACCGTGCGCAAAGGTTTTGGACACATGTGGAAAAAGAAAAGAGAAATATATATGGCACGTGTTGCAATTCATTACGCACGAACCACGTGTTAAATGAGAAAAATGGAAATTGCAGAAGGCCTTGATGCTGCAGAGGACAATTTTAAATCTTAGGTTCAACTGAAAATGATCGATTTACGTTTCTTTCTGCAGGTGTTTTTTTTTATATCGAAAGTTTTCAGAAATGAATGCAAATTATAAAATGTATTCCCTAAAGTGGGAATTTAACATTCTCACTGGCACACACTCGGGAATTATATTTGGAAATTAAGAAGAAGCAGAAATGCAGTTTTCGTATTTTGCGATCTCAGTCATCAGAAAATTATATATCTGTAAAAAGATGTTTCCATAAGTGAATTTTCAGTCCAGGCTACCTTGTTTTTGTCTGCAGAATCCGATAAGAAGCTTCCTGACACAAACCACTCCTAAAGGTGCGTTATCAATGCCTCATAAAATCAAGAGCGCACGTGTATTTGGCCGGTTTTACTGCTGTGTGCAATAATACAGATTCATCTGTGCACGAAGATGCATTCAAACGTCCGCTGCACGTGCAGACATTAGTCTGCAGGACAAGCAAGTAAACTAAAAACACACTAAGACAGAAGCAGGCTGCGTTCCGTGTCTAAAGCGTAAAAAACACTGCGTGCACTGCGTAAAGAGAGGCAATTATAATAAATTATAAAAATAAGAAAAAAATGTGTATTTATTATATAATTACCGATTTAAAATGAAAATATGTTTTTTTTTAATTCTATCAACATAAAAACTGAATCCGGTGACTTTTTAAATTCTAGTTTTATGTTATTTAGTAAAAATCTGATTTATAGGCCCAGGCGTAAAAGTTGACTTTTTTCAAAACGTTACAATTTCTTGTAAAGTTTCTCCCTTTAGCTGTGCAGAATTTCTGGGCACATACTTTTAGTTTCTACAGATTTAGTTCTTTAATACAGATAAAGTGCTTCAACTCTAACTTTTAAATTTTTGTACTTTTATAACGGAATATGTTGGTTTATGATCAGCACCGAAAAAGTCATGCGTTTTATCCAAAAATCAAGTCAATTCTAATAAATAAGTGGATAAATACATTTTAAATTTGTTTTAAGCCACTCAGTGCATTTGGCGCTCCCGCTCACTTTTTACGCATCAGACGTTGCTGGGGTGACAGCTGGGCACAATTACTGTTTGATCACGAGCCAAAAATAAAACAAAAAAAGTTGGATCTAAACAGTCTAATTACAGCAGATCGGCGTTTTACGAGCAAATTTATTGACAATGATAACCAGAGCGGGTACGGACTTATTGGTGTCTCTTCAGCAAACATCTAAGGGATCGGGAGTTTTCGAGTTGGAAACGTCACCGCCTGCGCACGACATCTGCGCCCCTCACGCGTAAAGAGACCCAGACCAGTGCCTGTTCTTACCTTGCATGTTCCTGGGCATGTGCCCCTGTTCTCCATACGATCGAGTGAGTCCCAAAGATTCAGTCTCGATTTTGGGCAGCATGTCAGCGCAGCCGGCCTGAGCTGGAGACTGCGCACCGCTCGGCGGGACACCTGGATGTGAGAGGCAGGCGTCCGCACAAACACACCTTGGAGGGTCCCACAAGTCTGTGCTCACGCGATATTTCTCTCTCTTTTTTGATGTCTTCCCGTCTTCCAATTATCGGACCATTAGGCGTCTCTGGTTCTGATCATTAAGACTCTTACCGCTACCGGGTTGCATTTAGCCGACCTCTTCATTTCACTGACATGATTAATCGAACTGCTTTTGAGCAGAAAACAAAAATACCAAAGAAAGAACAAAAATTCCTGTAATATCTACCTACTGAGCACGAGTTGCAATCTGAGTTGGAGAGTCGCATCTGATTTTTAAAAATGCGCAATGTCCTGATGGGGGGAAAAACGGCGGTAAGTTTCACTTTTTCTGTTCCAAAAGTCTTGTTCAGCGCGTCACCAATTAACAAGAGACTGTCAGAGGAAGTTTGAGCCGTTAGCAGACAAGCACACGCCGCCGGGGCCGCCCTCCCCTACGCGTAAAGTCGGATTCGATGTGTCGGTCGGACTGTCTGGAGATGTGGAGACCTGTCCTCCTCCTCCTCCTCCTCCTCGCGGCTTTGTTTACGCCGCTCTCTCCAATCCGGGGCGCATGCGGCCGTATGACATCATGCTTCTCCGGTCCAATCAGGCGCGCAGACAGGGAAACATCGCCTCAAAGCCTCGGGTTCCAGCGCTCTAAAATCTCAGATATTTAATCCCGTTAATGATGGACTTTAAAAAGCGAAGGAGGCGCGCAAGGAAATCAAGAGCGGTGACGCAACCGCATGAGAGAGCAGAGCAGATTCCTGATGAGCGAGCGGGGAAGAAAATCAGAGCGCAGAGGTATGCGGTCAAGAGCGCGAGGTGCGGCGTTCACGCGCTCCAGGGAGTTTATCTGTAAGAAAAGTCCTGCATCTTTTTCACCAGGGTGTCCTCTCAGATTTCACTGCAAAAAGATCATAAAAAATATGTATAAAAATAACGTTTTTGTGAATTTTTGGGAAAAAGCTGTGAGAAGTATTGGTCTCAAGTTAAAAAGGGCCTTTGTGCACCTTCAAAAGCCCCCCCCCCCCCCCCCCCCAATATAATCCATTCTGATGGTGTGAGTCAGAATTAAGCAGATACAAGTCAGTCACGTGACATTGGATTCAGGATATTTAAACTCACACAATAAAATAATGATGCATGCTTTATTGCATTGCTGTAAAAATGCCTTTGCAGTTGCAGTAATCAAAGTTACCTGGCATGTCGGAAGTCCCCAAGAGGGCTCATGCACGCGCGCTCCTATGGTACTCTGGACACTTGGTAGCGTATCTCTCTCTCTCTCTCTCTCTCTCTCTCTCTCTCTCTCTCTCTCTCTCTCTCTCTCTCTCTCTCTCTCTCTCTCTCTCTCTCTCTCTCTCTATATATATATATATATATATATATATGTGTGTGTGTGTGTGTGTGTGTGTGTGTTTTATTTCCAGGTGAAATATTAATGAGTTCACTCTCAAATCAACGTTCATCTGGAGAAGGGGGATTTTCCATGGATGTAACCTGGTTCTCTGACCTGAAGGAGTCCCCATGATCAGGTGGAAAGGTACAATCAAGCTGTAAAGCAACAGGGATATGTTTAAGCCTGTTTTGAGAATAAGTACACACTTGTCTGTTCTTGTTGCCACTGCCCTTGTCGTCCCCCCCCCCCCCCCCCCATTCTTTATTCTTTGTCTTTCCTAAATCCACCTGCATCCCAAAAGTTCATGTGTCTCACGAGAAACGCCTGAAACCTTAAAGTAGGGGTTGTCAGATGTCGTGCATAAACATTTGACCTGTTGGAGATAGCTTTTGGAACAAACTCAGCTTGCAGAAACAAAACAGTTCAGATCAGACCAGCTGATGCGGCCACAGTATCTTAAATAGTTCCAGTCAAAGAAATCAGTTATGTGCAAATATGTTTTTTACAACTTTTTATTTCTATAAATATCTTATTTTTTTGGGTTATTATTCTTGCAGCCTGGCAGAAATTGCAGTCAGAACATGTTTCTTCCTGCTACAAATAACCTCCACATAAATAATCATGCATGAAAAGTAGGTAAAGGGAAAGTTTATGAAATGAAATTAGCATAATATGCCATGATTTTTGGGTTATTAGGAAGACAGAAACATTAGACAAGCCCTCGTCCGTCAAGTCAGAACAAACTGATGTCTCTCTAAACTAAACCTTATTAAATCATTTCCTACAATTTCTTTTCTTCATTTTTTTGCAGAAACACACTTAAAAAGAAATGTTCAGTGATAAATCCTAAGGGCTTTCCATAACTGTCTGAAACATTCTGTCACAGCTTCAGGATTTCTCCTCATTTAAAACAAAACTTGTTTTCCTTTTTTTGTTATTGTTGTTTTTTAAGTCTGCTCATCATAGTCGCCCTCATCCGTCTCCCAGTTCTGCATCCTGTTCCCCAACTGGGATTGGTTGAAGCTGTTTAATGTGATGTTTAGTGGGCGGAGTCAGGGAATGACAGGAGTGGGTGGGGGGCAGGGCAGGGTGTTTGGGGTCCATGTCAGGTTATAAAATGACACAGAGCCTTATAAGACCAAGCCAACCCTGGTGAAATGATTAACTCATATAGAGAAACCGGGTGGTGTGGTGAAAGGAGCAAACAGGAAGTGAAGGAGCTTAAAGCTCAGAACAAAGCTAAAACATTTGAACATAAACAGATGTGGAAACTGCAGTCATGTTTTCCTGCAGGCATGTGTCATAATTTGTGATAAAAGTCAGATGAAATGATACGAAACACGTCAAACAGCAAACCTGAAACTTTGGACAAATCAGGAGTCGTTAAAGAGCAAGTCACCCCCTACAAGAAACTTACTTCACTCCCACTTCATGTTTGAAAAATGCAACAAATGCTGTTGCTTGGCAGACCAAGAGGGCGGAGCCGCTAACAAATACACACACACACAGGCTCACAATGGCATTATGACATCATAATATACCAGATGACATCATAGCATACCTCTTAGCCAATAGCGGTGGCAGATTTAAATTCAAATACAGTGCAGAATTTTTCCCTGACAACGGTGCAACACTGACAGTTTTAGGCAGAATATTTGATTAACCAAGATGCACTGAACTGCCAAATTATTGACTACACGTGTCTGCAGCATGATTAGACGCTCCTTTATATAGTTTATCAGCAAAAAAAAAATGTGATTTGGGGGTGACTTGCTCTTTAAGGCATCACTGGATTTATCTGATAAAGAGCTTTAATGACACCTGCAGGACCAATAGGAGTAATCTCACCTGCACTGCAACAAAAGCACAGCAAAGTCAGTTTAATTATTAATTTTTTGTCTGTGTGTGTTTTTTTAAAAATGTTTTTAGATGCTATAAGAAGACGCATTGAGTTTTATCCATAACTGGGGAATTCCCCCCTCCACCCACTGACACACACGCATACTCATTTCTCTCCTTTGTAAAGCTGTTTTCTCAATTGAAGGTAAAACACAAAAAGTCATTTGTTCTAAAAATACAGCAGGACGTTTTGTACGGAGCAAAACCTCATAAAACAAAACAAAGAAATGGTACGCACACATCTTGGCATATGTAAACAAAATTACAGGAGAACAATGAAGGTGAGAAAAAGGGTTTTCTGATGCGACATTTAACAATATGCAGATAAAAACGTTTTACTTACTGCAAGGTGCACATTTTTTGTGCAAATTAAGACAGTCATAATGAAAAGAAAAACATTTTTATTCAAGCAAATTACAAAATTAGACACTTTTTGAAATATCGTTGGAAAAAACCCAAGCTGGACTGATAACAACAGCTTCTGATAGCAACAGAACATCAAATCTGTCGGTAAGAAGACAAAATATTTCATCATGTTGATCAAAACAAGAGTTAAAGATGAATTTCTAAAGTGTGGTGATTGCATGGATGTTTTTGTTGTGTAGCCCACTTGTCTAATGCTCTAACAGATCCATATCTTGTGACTTTCTTTTGTGCCCTGGGTCAAACCGCTCTTACCTGCTGGTCTCCAGCTCCTAGATTAAGGCAGTCAGTCGGTTTATCGGAGGAAACCGAGTCGGTCAACAACAAGTGTTGACATTGGGGCTCATGAGATAAATCTCACAGGGATCAAACAGAGATAGACTCTTTTGACAAGGGAATGGTGTGTGTGTGTGTGTGTGTGTGTGTGTGTGTGTGTGTGTGTGTGTCTGTGTGTGTGTGTGTGTGTGTGTGTGTGTGTGTGTGTGTGTGTGTGTGTGTGTGTGTGTGTGTGTGTGTGTGTGTGTGTGACTGAGTGTGTGTTTCATGATTTGTCACAGTTGTAAGTCAGATGCTGATGACCTGGAAGGTGCTGATATTGTGTAAGAGGTTAGAATATCTTCATGCCGAATGGCTGAGAACCTCCAGACAGAGACTGCATGTACACGTGATGCTACTTTAAAACTCACATGCGCCCTTTTCCTCCTCAGCTGAGAAGGAAAAAGATGACATCATTTCCTGCTTTATATCAAAATCAAGTACACTTTCTTATTTTTTGTCATAAAGCGATACTAGTGTTGCTTGCTTTTAGCACCCCCAGTCTCTGTTATTAATTATCTGTGTTTAAATTGAAAATGAAACTAATCTTCTCACGGTGCGTTTGTCTTTTTAACGCTTTAATCTAACTGCTGAACTGTCTTCACAGGCTTCAGTAGTTTCTACAGAAGCGGTTCATCACTAAATCAAACAAATCTGCTGTGTTCACGATCCACAACGTGCAGGAAGTGTGCTGGAAGAAGACTCCTGCTCCAACATGTCAACTCCATTCCACTCCACCAGCAGGGAGTGGACCAGCAACTCTGGCATTGCAAGTGCAATATTCTGGGGGTGGTGGGGTCTGAGTAAACCCTGTAAAGGGTCGTTTTGGCACATACTGGCAGAATAAAAAGATTTAAACAACATTAAAAAGTTGTTTCGCATGCTTTTAAAGGGGACTAGTTTATGCTAAACTCACCGTTTGCATCCTTTTGGGTCTCTACTGCCTCTATAAATAATTATAATGTAAAAAGAATGCTCATCTGCATTCTGTCAATGTTTGGTTTTATAAATGATGTGCCTAAAACTAGCCATTTAAAAAAGTCCCTATTGTGATGTCATAAATGAGGAAATCAGCGTATAGTGAGCACCACATCACCCCTGTCACGTGGACCTCAAGGGATAAACCATCAATCCTGCTCAGTGGTCCACTTTCCTGGCGGGGGTCACCCATGAAGACAGTGGGAGGGATAAGGATATCAGAGCTTCTCAGCTTATAGCAGCCTGAGCGGCCAGCGGGTGGGCGTGGCCAGCTCCAGTTTGTTTTCATAAAGTGACAGAGCCCTGAAACGGCTCATTCTGGAAGGCACTGAAAATGTCAAGAATAAAACTGTTGAAATCACTTTATGTGAGAGGGATATTGTGCAAAGAACTTCGTAAACATGTTTTGTATCAACCATAGAACTATTATAACTGAAGAAAAATATCATATGTACCCTTTAAGCAATCACAAATCTCACTTGTGCTGGATTTCACAACTTGTGA